AGGAGCTGATGCAGAGACCATGGAGGATGCTACTCATTGGCTTGCTCCCCATTGCTTCTTTAGCCTGCTTTCTAGAAGAACCCAGGACCACCAGCCCAGAGATCACACCACTCACAATGGGCTGGGCCCTTCCAATCAATCACTAATTAAGAAAATGCCCTACTGGCTTGCTTACAGCCTGATTTTATAGCAGCATTTTCTTAATTGACATTCACTCCTCTCTGATGACTTGAGCTTGTGTCAAGTTGATATGAAACTATGGAGTACAAGGTTGAGATAACTCATGTGAAAATCTCCAGGCACAGCATGTAGTGGGTACTCAGAAAATGTACAAACAAATAAAAGCATGGGAAGGGTTAGTGGAAACCCTCCCATAGGAAGTGGCAACAAATGGAAGCGGTTGTCACCTGTCTTTGACATCCAGCCCAGACCCCACAGTCTATACCCACAGGCATGTGTGGTGATCCTGTGTGTGAGATGATCATGGGAACGAGAGGGGTTCAGATCTCATGGTGTACACGCACAGTCATATGTGATGATCCTGTGTGGTGTGTGTGTGAGAGAGACAGGCAGACAGAATATTGTGGGAGTGTGAAGAGATTTCAACAACTCTTGTTCTCTGGACACCTAATACTTGCTGGGTATTCACCTAAGTGTTTATTTGTGAATTACATTTATTTATTTATTTAATAGAACGCAATGGGAAGGGGCATGCATGTGCCACGGTGCATTTTCGAGGTCAGAGCTCAATTTATGGGGGTTGGCTTTCTCCTTCCCTGTGGGGGTTCCAGGGATTGCACTTGAGCTGCCAGGCTTTATCCACTGAGTCATCTCGCCAGCACCCTAACATTTCCATCTTTGCAACAACTCTGAGGTGGATACCATTGTTCTCAAGACAGGGCAGGGGGTCATTTGCTTGTAGTACTGGTGGAGCAATAGTAGTTGGTAAATCTCAGATTTAAACTTAGGTTATGGTGTTCTTTCCCACCAGGGATCTGACAGCAGACCCCTGCAAGCCACCCACCATGAACCACAATAAAGGATGAGGGTAACTTTGTGTGGCGTGTGTGTGTGAGTGTGTGGTGTGTGTGAGTGTGTGGTGTGTGTGTGAGTGTGTGGTGTGTGTGTGTGTGTGTGTTGAAAAGGGCTCAAGTGTCACCGGATGATGCCACGAGGCCCAAGGAAACCCTGCCAGTAGTGAGAGCAAGGCTTCTCTGGCACTTGCTATGCCCTGAGCCTTTATCAATTCACTTGACTCCTGCAGCCTGTGAGATCTAGCCTGTCACCATCTCTGACTGAATGGGGGGGCTGACCCAGGGACAGAGGTGGGCAGAGGTACCAATTAACACCTGTGGGCAAACCCCTGTGCTCTGGATACCTTGTGTCCTAGCTCCACCAACCTGCTTCTCAGCAGCAGTATTCCCAGCATGCCAGGAAGCTGGAAGATGCTTAGGAGCAAGATTGGATGGGGGAGCAATGAGATGGGGCTGAGAAAGCAGAAGTTCAGGTTTTTCGGTTGGGCTGGAAAGCGAGAGTGCTGCCCCTCCCCTTGACGTGAAGCTGCTCCCGTCCAGTCTGCCTTGGGGTCCCTGCTCGTGAGCAAATGGACATGCCGTGGTAAGAAAGACTTGACCACAAACCTCCTGTAAAGCTGCGGGAGTCAGGGATGGCAGGGTCCTAACCTGGTCCCTCCAGAGCTCAGCTATGTGGCATCTGGGGGAGGGGGACAGGAACCTGTTACTCAAGAGACAGTTCCCGTGCGAGTCCTGGGCTTCTGTGGAGGGGCTGCTTACCGCTGGCTCACTTGGGACCCTGGGGTTGGAATTAGGCTGCCACGGTATCTTAACTTCACTAACCTTCGGGTGACTCTCCTCTCTCTCCAGGTGTTCAAACAGTGGCCCAAATGCCAGCTCTAGCAATCTCAGCTCTGAGTGTTTGTCATCAATATTTCAGGATTCAAACATCTGTCTAAACAACACCTATGAAATATGAACGGATTGAGGTTTTAAAAAGTGGTCGACAGAGAAGGACGAGGGAGAGAGAGAGGATAGTGAGGTCTAGAGAGAACATAGGCACCCCCCACCCACATCCCTGGAAGCGGGTCTGGGGCTCGCGAGGGGCTGCTCGGCATGTGTGGGTCGGTGGCAGTGTTCTAAACCCAGGGCTAAGCTGGGGGTTATGGCTCAGCATTTGGGGTGGTGCTTGACAACCGGTACCCTGGGTCTCTAGGACCTGGAAGGGACCAGGTGAGAAGGCTGTGCAGTGTATAGTTTGCTCAGAATACCCAACAGCCATTCCTGCTGGCCAGGGGTTGCAAGGGGTTAGGCAAATGTCATGGGTGTCTGGAATCCAAGAGACGCAAAGGCAGTCAGGAAGCCAGCTGAGACCTTGCTCTTCTCTTTCCTCCTTCCAGGTGGTCAGAGCCCCTGTCCCCTCCCCCTGCAGGGTGCTCAGGGCATGGAAACTATAGCCCTGGCCTGTTCCCAGCTCTCACTGAGCCTCCCAGGGCCAGCTGGCAGCACTCCGTGCTCAACCTTACATTCTTGTGCCTTAGCCAGGATGGGGGAGATGCTGTAAAACGGCCTCAGTTTCTCCCTGCACGTAATGAGGGGGCTGGATATGATTTTCTCTTTTCTCTGAGGTTTCTTCAATCCCCAACACACCACAGGTTTAGAATTCATGGAAGGCTCCCACCACCTCGGCAGAGACCCCAGGGTCAAAGTTTGTGCTTTCTGCACTCAGGAAGCAAACAGCTGGAGTTATCCTTGCTGGGCTAAGCTGAAAGTCTGGGACTTACACCGGCCCAGCTGTGCATCTCTCAGAGTCCTTAGCCTATAAGGACAATGGAGCAAGAGTAGCAAGGCCCTCACTGGGCTGGCAGAGCCTAATGGACTGTCATGAGATGGGGAACAAAAGACGGACACCTGCTTTCCTGTGTGTTCCAGGACATAGGCCTATTTGAACCTGTTTAGAATGTCCTTGGCATAGCAGTGACTGGCTAGGGTCTTGGTAGTACCCAGTGAGCAGGTCACTGTGGTTCTAAGTGGAGTTGATTCCCAGATCCAGGCTCAGCCCAGTTCCCTAGTCAGGGAGCTGGGGAAGCCATCCCTAGGGATCTCGAGTACTGGGGCTCTGCAGGTCCCTAGCACAAGCCAGGCTGATTGGAGACCTCTAACTGGGGCCATCTGAAGTGGCTCTCCCAGGGTCTTCCTTATCTGGGGACCTAGACAGAGCTAGGACGGTAACTATAGGAGCAGTAGCTCCAAGGCCAGCATTGGGGGGAGGGGTGGGCTAGAAGACCCCATACCAACCATCCCATGATCACACCAGTTAGCATCTAGACCAGGCAGTGGGTCAGTGGCAGCCCCTCCAGACTCAGTCCAGGAGGCTACCTGCTCCTCAGCCCAAGCCAGAAGCAGACAGCAAGATGAATTCTCACTGCTTTCAGAGTGAAAGCCCTTTATCTCAAGCCCACCTGGGAGATTGACAGGGTTGATGATAGCTGCTGATTTTCTGAGCTGGCAAAATTAGTGGGGGTAGCCTGTGGGGATTTCTGTAATGCTTGGCTGATGGCTTAGGTGGTGGGGCAGGTCTTTTGGGGAGCAAAGGGTGACCTTGGAAATGTGGATTCTATCGAAAGGAGAGCAATAAGCTCTCTTCCTCACACTGGCTGTCAATAAGACTCCTCGGTGCCGGTGCGGTGGATGGAAACTGCTCATTGCCTAGCCTGGCGGCTCCGGGGCTGTAGCATTTGACTGCGTGATAAGAAATTGCCAGGCACTTTCTAATTACAATTATCATCATCGTGGATGTCTCTCTTAATTACTTTCTTATAATTAGCTGTTGCTTTTTCCCCTCAGCATTTGTATACTTTGCAGATTTGCTGACATTTGAGAACCCCAAAATAGGGATGTTTGAGGAGGGGGGCAGGAAAGGTGGGGGCACAGTGCCTGCTCCTGCCAGGCAGCCTGCTTACATGAGGGACTTTCGTGAGGAGAACCTGGGGCCAGCAAAAGATGGAGAGGGCAGGTTTGCTGAGCAAATGTGGCCAGAGTTTGGGGGAGTGGTAGAGGCCTCTGGTTTGTACATGAGCTCTACAAATCAAACTCTGGAGTTTTTATATTTATTTTACTTTTACTTATGTGGGCATGTGTCTGTCTATGTGAGCATATGCCCCACGTATGTGAGTGCCAGCGGAGATCAGAGGGCAGTGGATCCCCTGGAACTAGAGTTACAAAGTTAATTGTGAGTTGCCAGGTGTGGGTCCTGGAAAATGAACTCAAGTCCTCTGGAAGAGCACTTGCTGCTCTTAACTACTGAGTCACCACTCTCCACCATCCCACCCCAGTTTTTCCTTTTTCTTTCTTCTCTGTCTCTGTAACTCTTTCTATCCCCCTGTCTCTGTCTCTGTCTGAGACAGGGTTTCTCTACGCGTAACCTAGACTGGCCTCAAATTCATCTTGATCCTCTAACTTTATACTCCTGAGTCCAGGGCTCATAGGTGTGTATTACAACATCAGCCTGAAAAGATTGTCTTTTTTTAAGGTAGGGTCTAATGTAATCCAGGCTAGCCTCCAATTTACATTGTAGCTGAGGATAACGCTAAGTTCTTGTTCTTCCTTCCTCTACCTCTTGAGTGCCAGGATTAGGTATGTGGTACCACACATGGTTATGAGGTGTTGGGGATTCTCTGTCTACTGAGCTGAATCTCTAGTGTCTGAAGGAGCTAATACAAAAAAAAAAAAAATCCAAAACCAAGGCTGCCCTGCCTCAGGCTGGGGTTTCGTTTTAAGAAGTGAGGCTGGGGCAGACCCCATGCCCTCTTGTCAGTCACATTTCAAGTTGAACAACTCAAGTCCTATTAACTTTGATGTTTATCCCCCAAACCAACGATACATTTGTAGCATCCTTGGCACTAGGGACCCATGACAAAGTGGTTTCTGCTTTGTGCCCAGATGGCTGGTCTCACTGTCTGCTCTTCTTCTCTCCCATGCCTTCAGCCCTGTGCACTGAGGAGTGTATGCACGGCCGTTGCGTCTCTCCAGATACCTGCCATTGTGAACCTGGATGGGGAGGCCCTGACTGCTCCAGCGGTAAGTTTGAGGTTTTGGGGATCAGTGGTCTACAGTTCTGACATCGGAAGGGGTGGTGGCATGTGTAAATTCATCCATGTGACCGGTGGAAATGACTTTGGATGTCAGGAAGATGCCAGATACAGTTAACGTGGACAGCATTTTGGGGGTCAAGACTCTAGGGGGGTGGGGGAGATGGTTCATTGGGTCTTGAGGGTTATAAATGTGGAGAGCTGTATGGTCATTTGTACACTTTTCTTTTGATGACCCACGTCTATATATGGTATTTGAGGGTTGGGATGAACTTGAGATGATGTGTATACTTGTTTACATATCAAGGTGGTTATTAGGCCTGGTCCTTGACTCGATTGGTTCAGAAACTCAGTTTCATGAGTGCCTGTGGGTGCACAAGGGGCTATTGTGTGAGGATGGTGGCTACCAGGACATCTCTCTGTCCCCAGTAGTTAAAGAAGGGGACACCCCTAGGGGCAAGACACTGTTCCTATATCTCCTTGATGGAGAATGCCCATTTCTCAGAGAAACCTGACTGGTAAGGAGTTAGGTACACCTATGGATGACCCAGTGACCCACAGAAAAATGGGACATCATCTTTATTGTGGTACTAGTTCCCCAGAGGAGGACTGTATCAGGTAAAGCTGAAGAGATTCGCTGCTAAGAGCTGGAGATGAATCCTCCTCTCCCTCTGATAGTCTCAGATGACCCCTTCCACAGGTACATTCCATGCCAGTCAATAGCTGTTTCATACTGGGATCCTATTGGCTAGAGGCCTTGACTAGCATTAGAGCCCCGTTTTCTTCCTGCTTTAAGTTGGTGTAGGTGAAAACATACCTAGGCCAACCCAGTAGAGGTCTAAGTACCACTGTTTATGAGTCTTGGGGAGCTACCCCCGTGTCCTCTTCCATAGAGGTGATGCTGTAAATCCTTAGGCAGGGGAGTGCTGGGTTCATACACATTAACCTGACCTGACAGTTTGTGTGTCCCCTCCTGCTCTCTGCTGGGCTGGGCAAATCTAATTGTGGTCTTTTGATATGCAGACTTGATTACATGGTGCCTATGTCTTTGTCTAGAAGGGCCTGAGAAAATGCCAGCCCAAAGGAAGGTATGGGATGTGTGGTTTTTATACAAAGTCTTGGTGACTCTTCTGAATTCTTGGAGGGGTCCACATCTGCTTGGAGCTTCCAATAGCCCCTGTGTAGTGTGTGGGGAAACCCTAAATGTCTGTATAGCCTCCATTTCCACCCACTCCACTGCCTTAAAGACAGGCTGTGACTGAGAAGGAAGGCCAGACGAGGAAGAATGAGCCTGAGGGATGAATTTACAAGTTCTATTCAACCAGTTTTTCTGTGGACTTTAAGTTCAGGAAGCACAGTGGGGAAATGTCCAAGGGCATGTACCCTGTCCATGTTTCCTTTGGTGTAATTCTTCTGACAGCGGATCTTTGGGGAGAAACATTTGACTGGAATTGGTGACCTGGATGGCCTGGGCCTACTTGCAGCTGTTGCCACCTCTTCCCAAGAATAGGGCGGCCTGTGAAGGAGGGGATGAGGCCTCAGTCTCTCTCAGGCTGTGCACTTACAGCTGATTCAGTGCTGTGTAGTCAGGTGGGTTTTTTTGGGGGGGGGGTGCTTTCAGACAGGATCTTTTTCATTTCTGATTTACCATCTGGTGACCTTGGATGAATGGGATTTGACGGTGTTGAGCAGGTCTTGCAGCAGGGTGAGATTACCAAACAACAGGGTTACATCACAGAATAACATGAGGATAATTCAACCCCCTGCGTCATCACATTTGGGGGCTGGTCTAACCCACAGCTTGTCCCCTTTCCCCTAAATCCTCCTGCTCAGCTGGAGCCACCGTCTTTGGTTCTAAGGACTTTGCTCTCTGGGATCTATTCGAAGGCATGTATTACCAGAGCCAAAGAAAGTACCGAGAGACTGGTTCTGTTCAAGTTAGTTTATTATCGCTGTGACCCAATACCAGATAACAACCTGTGAGGGGAGGGGTTTATTTTAGCTCACAGTTTCAGAGAGTTCAATCCATGGTGGCCTGGCTAACCATCATGGTAGTAGAGTGTGGTGGAAGAGATTCTCAACCTCATGACAGACAGACAGGAAGGAAAGAGAGGGAGTTGAGAGGAAGAGGCCAAGGACAAGATACGTGCCCTGGACTCACCCCCGTCCCCACTTCCTAAAGTTTTCTCCAACTCTCAAAATAATGCCAGCAGCTGGGAGAACAGTGGGCTATGGTCTTCCAGAGCCAGCCCCAGCTTCATTTTGAGGGAAAGCAGTGTTAGATGAAGAGAATTCGTAGATTCTCGTGTCAGAGCTTCGGCAGTGCCTGGCAGAGAGCTTTCCCACCCTTAAGGCCTTCTAGACATAGGAAGCTCACTACTTCCTGTGGAAGTTCGTTTTGGCTGCTGGGAAGTCTCCCTTCTCCCCAGTGGAAATATTACTCTGGTTCCTACTGGTTGCTTCTTGCTCACAGTGAGTACTGAGCAGGCTGATGGATTGCCATGATCTTTTTCCTGGCATGTCTGGAATCTCTCCCAAAGGAGCTCATTGGACAAGGCCTCAGGCTGTGGATGTGGGGTGAACTGCCCCAGATCAGAGGATTATAGTCATGGAGCCTGCTTGGAAGAAATGGGGGCTCCTCCCCCAGCTCCCTCTTTGGGTAATACACACAGCCACTGATCTCTTTTCTTCTCTGAGATGTATTGTGTCTTACAGGACGTGATTTGGGCTGCTTTGCCATCTGTCTTTTTCCTATCGCCGTGGCCTTTATTTCCCCTTAAATTATCATCCCTGTATCCAAGCCCATAATGGCAGGCCTGCTCTGACCAGTCCTGAGAGAGGATAGTTTTGTTACTATCTGTGCTGCCATCGATTGAACTTGACCATGTGTGGGACACGGTCTTGAACTTCGTGTTTCATCTTCACAGCATCCTGTGCTGGGGAATTACTAGGCTTGTTTTACAGATGGGAAAGTCAGCGCAGAGAGGCTGGCAAAGTGTCACAGACAGCTAACCAGTAAATGGTGAAACCAGTCAAAACTCTGGGTTCTAAATCTAACTCTGCAGGTGTGTTTACCCATATGGGTCCATGCAGAGGCCAGAGGTCAACAGAGTCTCTTCATCTATCACTACCCTCTATTGTTTGAAACAGGGTCTTTCACTGAGTAGGCTAGACTGACTGACAAGTGAGCCCCAAGGAATCCTCCTTTCTCTGCCCCATCCCTGCCAGTGCTAGGCCCAATGTGTGCTTGGCCACACCTATTTTTTTAAGATTTATTATTATTATTATTATGTATACAGTATTCTGTTTGCATGCCTGCCTTCAGGCCAGAACAGGGCATCAGATCTCATTATAGATGGTTGTGAGCCCCCATGTGGTTGCTGGGAATTGAATTTAGGGCCTCTCAAGAACAGCCAGTGCTCTTAACCTCTGAGCCATCTCTCCAGTCACCCCACTTTTAATGTGGGTGCTGGGACTTAAAACTCAGATTCTCATGCTTGCAGAGCAAACTACTTCCCAGTCATAAACCTGAACTCTTAACGATTATAGCCTTCCTTTCGGGCATTCTATCCCTATTAATATGGCCTTGGGTTGAAATAGGTTTTTCTTTTTTAGATTGTGTGTATGTGGGGGTGAGGAGTGTGTGCAGGCGACTGTGGGTCTTGATGGAGCCCAGGGGCACTGAGTCTTCTGGAACTGGAGTTACAGGCAGTTGGGAGCTGCACAAGGTGGGTTCTGGGACCTGAGCTCAGGTCCTCTGGAAGAGCAGCAAATGTTCATAACCAATGAGCTCTCTCTCTAGTCCCTGAAATACATTTTCAATGTGAGAACGTAGCTGCTCTCAGGAGACGGAAGAATGTGTTCATAAGCTTTGACTCACAGACACCATTGTAGGGAGAAAAATCAGTCAGGAAATGCAACTTATGATCAGATGTGATCTAACAGTAGAGCCTGCTTGTGTTGCTGGACATCCACCGCCTGCTATGCAGGGCCTGGGGAGACGTATCCCTCCAGGTGCAGTGTGTGTCCCTAGAGATCTCAGGTTGGGTCTATACATGGGATGGAAAAGAATCAGATTGGCTTCAATGGGAAACAGCAGGCTTCCTTGGTTTGGATTTTTCCCCATTGATTTTGAAGTTATACACCTTCACATTAAAGAGGAGAAGTTTAGCAAGAGCATAGACTCCAGGTCGCAGCCCAGGTTCACCTCTCCCAGCCTTTGGATGGTAGGAGCCCTGGCATTTTCCTGACATTTGCATGCAGTGCTGGACCTGGATACCACATGTGTGCTAGCCAGAAACTCACTCCTTTAATTCAACCCTAAGTTGTACGCTCATTTCCTTGTCAATAAGCATTAATCTCCTTTAAATTTTTAATGGCAGTCTAGACTTCCATTCTGTGGTTTACCGTGTGGCTTTCACCAGGCCTGGCTGGTGAACATTAGGTTGTTTCTGATCATTCCCTGCCACTGGATTCTTTGGGTCTGTTTGTCGTAGAACTTGGGGATTTTTCACAGTTTAGGAAGTACAAGATGGGTCTGGGCTGGGACTCAGTTCGCAGGGTGCTTGCCTGGCACCTGCTACTGTGTGTTCCTCCCCAGCACTGTGTGACCTGGGCTGCTGTGACCCCAGCATGTCAGAGGTAGAGACAGGAGGATCTGGGGTTCAGTGTCATCCTTGGCTGCATCGTGGGTTTGAAGCCAGCCTGGGACACATGAGACTGTTTCAAAAAGAAAATCAATAACAACAAAACCCCTTTCGATTTGCTGTTGGTTGACACTTTAGCACCCATAGCTGCAGAGGACTGGATATACCAAAGCCAACATATGCCTTCAGACCCCTTTGTTCTGGAGTTGATGAAAACTCCAGAATGCCGAGCATGGGCAGAGGAACCTGACCACCAGGTGGAGGAATGCTGCACGGAGCCCACACTCGACTCTGGCCTCCCGTGCCCAGCGTGCACTATGTACTCTTTGAAGCCTATACAAGG